TCCCTATTTATGCAGCTGTCAGAGGTGTTTAACAGCACATGTTAAGAAAGACAGACACCCTAACTTTATTTCGAGGAGTCCAAAACACTATGTATTTTGATAATCTTTAGTAGGGAATAGACATAGGGAAGCCTGTAAGGACTGTAAAGAATATTTCTCTTTCCAAGCCTTTTTTCTGTACCACCATTAATAGCATTCTCAAGTGCCTTTACAAGCTCCAGTCTTGATAATTTTTCCACTTATGAAAGACCATGTATCACAATACAGAATCATAACTTACTGTGTAAATCATATATTCTTTACAATTCTAAATAATATTCTTTCTCCCTGAAAGGAGATACTTATCATTACTTGAGTCCTGATGGCCAACTGGCTCATCACTGGCTGCCCACACAAAATTTCTATAGCTACTAAATATACGTACTTTTTCTGTTTGATGATGTTCTTCTCCAGAAGCAATGTTAACAATATTGGAGGGTTTTTTTTCTTCTTTAGGTAGTACATCTGTTAGGTAGTACATCTTTAGGTATTACATCTGTTTATTGGGGATGGTCCTTACAGATATGATAAAATTCACAAATTAAATGTTTAACCTCTCAGGTTAAACATTTTTCTTTCAGAGAGGATGTGTCAGTGATGGGTGAGAGCTGAGTCTAGCAGTCCTGTTTCTCCATATGGGATGCACGGGATTAGATTGTATGATTTCTGGCAAAAATAGCAGAACTGGTGTTATTTCCTGAAAATTTCCTACTACTTGTTGAAATTGTGAGAGACGCACAGTGTAATTTGCAACTTCTTCCTTTCCCAGGGAAGATTTTGCTCTCCTTGTTGCTTTCTCTTTGGAAACCCTGTTTGAGTCCTGTAAGGCTGCCTTGTTTTGAAAGCCCTTATAATTACAGACTCAGTTGACTATAACTACAGCTGCTCCTTAATTTTCTGTGACTCGTATGGCACTGGTTGGTTCCTGCCTGATCCCACAATGTCTTTCTGCTCTTACTGTGTAATGCTAGTTTCTAACCTACATTCTCATTTTAAACATATTTCTGGAGCTATATCCTGCCTACGTCAGGCCTACTACATTTTTTAACTTTCAGACTCCCACTCCCACTCACATTTAATTCTGCTTTGTTTTTTCTTTTCTTGAAGCTGTATTTATAGATGTCTTTTTTGTTTGTTTCCATAAACCTACTTCAGTCCTCTTAGACCTTTTCCTTTCTTCCTTTCCATCAGAAAGATGTTATTCAGAATTCAGTGAGATGCTTGTAACAAGATTCCTTTGTTCTTTGGGCAAAAGATGCAAATGGATTTCTGTCAGCTGCAGTGCATTCAAATCTGCAATCACCTTTATCTCCTTTTTGTTTGAAAGGCAGCCTTAGACTCTGTACAAAATAATAAATTCAACTTAAGCCCCAGGTCATACTGATTTAAGCAACTATTCCTAAAAACATCTTTAACTCTTTTTCTCTACTCTCCTTCACCAATGGTTATCACACATGTACCCTGGCAACATCAGCAGAGGAATTTGAATCCCTCCCCACACCTCTACGATCCCTAGCTCAAGTCATGGTCACCTGAGCTGCAGGGGTAACTTAGTTAACTGCCGCATAGGAGTACTGCCCAAAGGGGAAAGCGATGTGCACTTATTACTGGGGGGAGACACTATAAAGAGTGCTTGGAGTCCTGCTCTGGAAGGGAAGCCCTGCCTGCTGTTAATGGAGGTGGTTATATGAGTGCGACCACGCACACAAGCACAGCCAGGAGGTATTCGTCTGGAAACCCAGGTTCTACCTGTTACAGAGTCAGGATCTCATCTCAGCAGTGAGGTAAATGATCTCATCTGTCATATCATAGTTATCATATCTGTATTGCAGGATGGCTCAAACCTAAGTGTTGAGGCCAGGCTCCGTAATAAGAGTGGAAAAAGCCAGTAGTGAGTGGACAGGTGACCTTGTCCTCTCCTGACTCCTCTGTGCCTCCTGATAGGTTAAATCGTTTTTTGTCTGAAGTTTCTTTGCCTCCCTGAAACCATGAGTCTGAGCTGTTTGAAATGTGTACTTGGGGCTGTTTATATTACCAAACTTTTTTTTTTATTTCCGGTGGAAGGAAGGAAGGGCCCCACAGTGCTCTTCAGTTAAAGACAGCAGCAGGGATTTTGTTGCAAAGATCTGTTGATGCTGAAGGGGCCCATGGAGAGGACTTCTCAGAGTGAGGGCTGGTAGGCTACAGCTACCAAACTGCCACCCAGAGGTCCTGGCCCAGTAGGTCAGATAAGCTTTCTCCAGCTTCCAGAAAAATGTCCCCTTTGGGAGCTACTGAGAAGATCTGCTGGGCTCCCTCTCCCTCATAAACAATAAATCCTTTTGCTCCCAAGCCCTGCCCTCAGCCTTTCCTCTCAACACAAACATCTCTTCTGCATGACCCCACGCTGCAGAGGGAAACAGAAAGGCATTCCTCCCTTGCCTTCCCTTCCCTGTTGCCTTCCCTTCCCTGTTGCCTTCCCTTCCCTGTTGCCTTCCTTGTTGCCTTCCCTTCCCTCACTTTCAATCCTCACAGGTTTTTTTTATAAAGAAATATACATTTGGCACTGGTCTTAAATGCAAGGAAATATGAGGTATAAAATAGCAATGATAACTTCAGGCTGCCCTGTAAACTCATGCACGTTATAAACACCGTGCACACTTAATCTGTAAACCTAAATCAGATTATTTTGCAGAGTTTCTCAATCAGATTTTTTTATGACTGGGAAATGACTACTCTGTCTGTTACTGTCAATAGACAAATTGTCTTTTTCTACCGTTAAAGAGCACATCCATTCATTCCAGGGTTTGCATTTAGCAGATGTCACCCTTAAGCAAATTTAATCTTATTTAAATTAAGCTGTTGTTTACGCAGTGGATAAATCATTACACTAAACAGTCATGAAAACTGTGAAGTGCCAGTCCTTTAAACTCTCATCTGACTTCTTCTCACTAAGCGGTCTGTACAGGAGTATTTCCAATGTCTGAAGAGCTTCAAGGAATTGCATTTGTGTTTTGAGACAACCTGCCAGGTACCTTTTAATTTCTTATCCCCTAAAGGGGAATTGTCCTCTCTAAAACTAAGCTGTGAAACTCAGAATGAATTTATGTTGGAAGGGATCTTTGGAGGTCATGTGGCCCATACCTCCACTCAGAGCAGGCCAACTTTGAAGACAGGTCCAACTTGACACAAGCTTCACATGTGCTGGTTCAAGGGATAGGGATAAGAGTTGGCACCTTGAGACTCCTAAGGGTTAGGAACTGAAGCTTTATGCTATTGGAAAAAAAAAAAATCCAGTTTGGAGATATACCTGTCATCCTCCTTCTTTGAACAGTTTTCACAAAGGAAACTTGAGCTATATTTTTGTGTTAAATGATAATTTTAAACAAGAACAAAAAAATGATGCTGGCTGCCACAATCCAACTACTTCTTTCTATTGCTGAAAGTTCCCAAACATGGTTCTTAATATCTGTACACTACTGTGCTGGCAAATACTATTTTAATCGAGTTTTAGAGCTCTTTAGATATCATTAATTTTCTTCACATTCAGAATTTCATAAACCTCATTCTCGTTATGGAAGAAGACAGGAATTGAGTAGACTGAGGCACATGGTTGATACAAAAATGCTTTTTAAAACACTTCTAAGTGGTCCTAAAATAATTGTAATAACTTATTTCATATCACATCGTATTTCCCCTAAAAGGGTATTGTGTGTGCGTTCACAGTCTAAGTTTAGGAAGACTGTTTTCCTGCTGAGTGGTAAAGCTAATATATAACTTGATCATCCCAAACTGCTGCTGATATAAAACCTCCTCCTAAGATATATCAGATGTCATCACGTGTTCCTTATGAGAACAGACAGCCTTCATGTCTGTTGACTATAAAGCTAGCTGATGTCTTTCTAGATTAAAGGTTCTTGACTGTTTATTACTACAGCCATATTCAAACAGCCTGAATTCCTTCCAAACCTTTGAGCCTCCCATTTTCTATAGGGCTGGTGCCTCTGTGGGGCCAAGAGCCAGCCAAGAGGAAACACAGAGCACAGGGAGGTAACCAGGATTACACCTGAGTACATCCCTAAGTCACCACTGCTTGCCTCTGCCTTTTCCATTTTCCCCTTTCCAGGCAGCAGTGCTGCTGGAGACCTGCTGTGACAGTTCCAGGCCACATCCTTGTGGCAAAGAAACCTGAGTTAGTTACTTTTACACCCACAGAAAAACAGTAATAATTTACAGAACTTTAAAAGTACACTTAAACCTTAGAGAAAGCAGTGGGATCAGCCGAGCTCTCTCCGATCATTTTAGAGATTAGCCTCTAAGCCTGTTGAATGGTCTGCGGTAATCTTTTACAAGGTATTTCATAAGCAAGCAACCCCACAGGCTACACTGCAACTTTACACGGGGCTGCAGATTTGGAGAGAGCTTCTCGGGACACACAGCATTCAATTTTCCCAAGACAGTGCACAGACTTAGATCCAAAGCGACTCAGATTTAATCCTGGGTTTCTCATCAACATCCTCTGAAACATGACCTACCTCTTAGCTGCTCCCAAGCCACCTCTCTCCAATTAAGGAGAGCTGGACTGTAAAATGCCACATCCTGTACCCATTTGGCTTGGCAGATTTAATAAGCCATTGTGGTAGAAACAAGGTAATGCCCTCAAGACACTGAAGACTAATCCATTATTCCCTTTTCCTCCCCCAAATCATTCAGCTAGCAAACCCACACCATCAGTTGCACCAATTTGCTCTCTCCTTGAAGGGTTTCTGCAGGCAATTTTTCTGACAGTTTCATGTCTCTCATAACTCGGGTTAGCTGTACTCCGGCAGCTGTGGGGTGGTGCTCTCCTCACCGCCCCCCCCGCCCCGCAATAAATACCTTTTTCCAAGACAGATGCAGTTACTAACAGGTCAGAACTTTCCTTCTCAGTGGCTTGAAATGGAAGAGCTGTGGGTAAGGCGCTGATCTCCTCCTTCCCACCCTCTTCTGCAAGTGGGTATATGTGGCCTGGATGGGAAAGATGGGAAAGAATGAAATAGCTTCTCATGGTCGCATCCCTTCAGTGCAAAGTTTGAGAGACATGTTTGGAGATGCTGACATAAACTTTCCTGTTTTCTTCCTCCTCCAGGCTGTGTTCACTGGTAATACTTTGAGAAACAGAAATGTTGGGAGGAGATCTCAATCTTCTTTGACGTTTCACTGCTCCTCACTAAACAGAAAGGAAAGTGTCATGATGGTTTCTAGGGATGGCCCCTAGAAACAGTGGACAAACATTGCTTGTACACTTTTACATGATTTTGCCACTGCGATTTTAAATTCCCTTCAATATCCTCCCTCCATCCAAACCACCCTAATTCCATAAGGATATATCTACTTATCAGAGGAGCAGAATGTAATTTCATATGAGCATCCAGTACTTTCAGAGTTTCTCCTACCAAAGATGTGTATCCTCTGGGCAGAAGTCATGGCATCGAGTAACACCATCCTGTAGGATCTCAGTTCAAGGTTTTATCAGATCAGGGCTGAGAAGCCACTCAAGTAGAGCTCAGGTTTAAGTTAACAGCCGGTGAAACAATGCAGGATTTCGTTCAGTGCTCTGCTGCTCGTTTCCTTTTGCACTTCACCTAATTTTGCTCCTCATATTTTATGAAGACGTTAAAATACCACATTAGTTGCAAATAAAATATGGCATAAACAATTCACTCGGCATGCTGTTTGAGGAAAGTGTAGAATGGCAATTGGACTACTGGCAACCAGAAAATTTTTAAGAAGGAGAAATGATGCCATAGCCGCACTAACACTGGTATGCTTTGAGGTTAAAATTGTTCTGAGCTGTTCTCTTCTGAAATAATTACCTAGCTACAAAGACCTCCAGACCAGTGACTAGTGCACACAGAGCTAAACTTGTGCTCAGACAAAAAAAAAAAAAAGGCTGAGTTGCCATAGCCGCACTAACACTGGTATGCTTTGAGGGTTAAAATGTTCTGAGCTGTTCTCTTCTGAAATAATTACCCAAGCAACAAAAACCCCAAACCAAGGAATAGTGCACACAAAGCTAAAATTTTGGTCAAAAAAAAAAAAAAAAAAGGCTGAGTATTGATTCTTGCTGGTGTAGAGTTTTGTAATTTGCCTATCAGAAAATGCTTAAGACAGATCTGGAACATATGATGTAGAAAAAACAAAACTTATTGAAAAGGTTGCACAAAATACTACCAAGAATTCAAGGAAACCATGACGATAATGCCAATGTTTATGTTAAATGTAAAATATATGCCTAATAAGCAGATAAATTTGAGGGACATTTTTTCTTAAATAACTATAAACATAAGAGTGAGAGGATCTTTTAGGATGATGGATTTGCTTTAAATATTACTCCAGTACTATCAAACTCTATACTGAAATGTGATTTTCTCAAAAAAGAGAACTAAAGTGATCCTGCATTTAATGGAATAAGACAGAATAATTATAGATGGACAGCCAGCAGGAAAAACAGCAGGAAGATACACTGCCCATCCTAGAAATGCCTAGAGAGGACAATTTGTGTGGAGCATAGCAGAACTGTCTGCTAGGAGCTGGGAACAGACTGCTCGACTGGGAAAGTTTTATTGTTACTCACAGGTTGTTATCCTGCTACCCCTTTTCGTAAGTGGGAAAAATTTGAAGATTCAAACCACTGCCAGCACACTCTTTGCTGCCCACACCAAGCCCAGAGTAGTCGTGCCAAGAACTGGGCTGTGTAAAGTAGCGTGCTCCTGGTGTCAGAGAGAGGACGAAGGAGCCCCTTCAGCTTCCTTATTCACCATTTTCTTCCTTATTTCTACTCTTCTTCTCCTAGGAGAATGTTTCCAGCCATGAGAGTGAAAATTACAGGTTTGGATCCCCACCAGCAGTATTATATTGCCATGGACATTGTGCCTGTGGATAACAAGAGATACAGGTATGTTTTCAGGTGCAGAGGTAGGAACTTTGTGATAACTTACTGTCAGTGAGAGCCTAGGAAAGGCAATGCCCTTATACACCATTGCACAGGTATGCTGGAGGAGACCATGTTGATTTACACCAATATAGTTGATTTGACCAGAATCGTGAGACACAAATCCAGAGGTTTTAAAATACTCTCTTGCACTTTTATATTGAAATCTTGCTCTTTTCAAATAGAAATTTTTTTAATTGGGGAGATCCCTAGCATGCATTTCACAATTGACATGATTAGCAACGACTGTCTGAGGGAACAGATAACTGGAGTTATCAACGGGGAGTCTGGAGCCTCTAAAGCTACTTCAGCAAGAAAGGAATGGACAAGTGGCGCTGAACTAAGATGGGCATCTCAGGTCTGGTCTGAACCGAATTGGGTGATTTTTGTTTTAAAAGCATTCACTGTTCAGCACAGCAGCCACAGGGCATACGGGCCCTGACCTACAGTATGGAGACATTGAGAAACCCTCTGGTGACTCTCCACCGCTGAGCTGAAAGACAGGAAGAAGAGATTTCTCTGGGCTCCCAATCCTAAAAATCACTCTGGAAAACTCATGGTCCTCTGCATCCAAGAAAGCTATCCAGACAGAAGTGATTTATCTATACTCATTAAAAGACCCCTGAGAGCAAGCCTTTTCCCCAAATAGTCTTGACTGCACCACAATTTCAAGAATTGATCCTCTGCTTCAAATGCTAAATATTACATTTTTGCTCTCAGATTGTGCAGTGTTTCTCAGGGAAATGCTTTTCCTGGGAAGCACAAAGGTAGTGTCTGATACTCAGCTAGATGTTTTGCCCCTTTCTTTGAGTGTGGTTCTGACAGCATTAATGTCGAAAATAAATATATTGCCTTACACTTTGTTTCTGTCCTTGTTAGCTTGTGCAGCCACATAGAGCAAACTAGCAGTGAAAGGAACAGATTTTTTTTTTTTTTTTTTCATTTCTTTTGAAAATACATGAAATGAGCCACTGTTTGTAGGTAAGGACTGAAATAGCTTAGCGGAGCTGAGTAGACACCCAACGAGGGGCAGCACAGGGCAGAACTCAGAGGTGTTAGCAGGACTGTTTGTGAAATGCCTTAGGCTGCATGACAGAAAGAAAAAAAAGTATGTAGGCAAAGCTGTGGTAGAGAAATCTATGGCATATATAGGATGGCTAGGTCCACACGAAAGATCACAAAAAACCAGGAACATAAAAATTATTTTTTCCTCTAATCCCAACGTTTGTAATACTATATGGAGTTTCCTATTTTGCAACATTTCAAACCAGAAATTCTGTTTTATCAATTGCTCTAGTGTTATCCATTGGATTTTTCCTTTTCTGCATGAAGACACGTGTGTTTTGCACAGTCTGGCATGGCAGCCAGTGCAGATTTCCAGAAATTCTAGGGTGTTTATTAATATTTTCAGAAAGGGCTTTGTTTACCCATATTTTCTAGCCTTTTACTCTGGCTCAGAGAGGGTTAAGGAGTTGAGAAGGCACATGTGGCAGAGTTTTACAGGGCAAATAACTACAAAGGTGGTTTTAATAAGGAATCAAGTCTGAACAAGTGGCTCAGGGGTAATCTGGCTTTCATTTAGAAGGTAGGAGGTTGCAATAAAGCACATTCTCCCTTGACTGCAAATGAGAGCTTGGGATGCGTGCGGTAGGGTGGCAGGGGAGGGGGAGCCCTGGGAATTCTCCTCGAGTGAGTTTGTGAGTGAGTGAGTGACAACTTCCCTTAGCCATCACCCCTTCCTCTTTCAGGTATGTGTATCACAGCTCCAAGTGGATGGTGGCTGGCAATGCTGACTCCCCAGTGCCCCCAAGGGTTTACATCCACCCCGACTCGCTGGCTTCTGGAGACACCTGGATGAGGCAGGTGGTCAGTTTTGACAAGCTCAAGCTGACCAACAACGAGCTTGATGATCAAGGCCATGTAAGTTAGAAGCTAACCCTGATGTCTACTACCCCAGCCTTGCTCCTCTCAGATTTGAAAGGGTGCTGCTGCTGCTCCGATGCTCTTGTGTCCTGCTGGGCATGCATGTCTGTAGCCACTCCCCAGAGCTGCAGAGCTTTTTCCCCTACTTCAGTGCTTTTCCTCAAAATGTTGCCTGACTCTATAAAGCAATAAAGCCCCTTTCTCCTTCGAATGGAAGTTCCACTTTGACATGGCACCTGCATATAGCACAAACTTTGTCTCGTACATACTTGTAAGAAAAGAGTAATTTTCTTCATATTAGCCCTTATTCCATCCCTGCTTCCTTGTACCTCTGGATGTAGTGTAGATGTTTTGGGGAAAAAAAAAAAATCCTTCTCCTTTTGTTTTTTTCTTCAGATCATCTTGCATTCAATGCATAAGTACCAGCCCCGTGTTCATGTCATCCGCAAGGATTTCAGCAGTGATCTTTCTCCTACAAAGCCAGTTCCTTCAGGAGATGGAGTGAAAACGTTCAACTTCCCTGAGACTGTCTTCACCACAGTGACAGCCTACCAAAATCAACAGGTAAAGCTGCATGCCTTCAGACTCCTTTTATGTTGTGTGTTCATAAAAATACCAGTGTGCTCTTTGTGTTTGAGACATTAACTTCTCTAAGAAATGTAGCTCGAGAATTGTGTACCTTTGACAGGCTCACTGTTTTTTTTCTGCACAAAAAGAAAATCCTTGCTATGGGGTAGTGTGTAGACATGAGGTATCTAGCCAGAAAGCCCTCTTGCAGATAAGGTCCCTGCAGATTTTATTGTAAAATACATAGGTGAGATCAACCATAAAGAGATGTATTGTGTTCACTTTTCCTTGCTGCCTTGTGGTACAAACCACAGTCTCCTGTCCCCACCATAATTTTAAAGGCAGTACAACTTATCTCACAGAGAAAACACAGATTTTTTTTTTCACTGCTAAAGTGAAGGAAGTTTTATAGAAGAATAATCTTATCAGTTTGCTGACAAAAGAAGCTTTTGAACATAAGCAGCAGCAGTCTATATATTGCATATGAACTAAAATTCTCACGCATAATTCACGCTTGATTCGGATCTTGCACAGTTCCCAGTGGAGAGTGTTACCATTGACTCCAGATGTCATAAGGAAGAGATGTTGCTACAGTGGGATCCTCTTTGCAGAGGTCTTGACTACTGAGCTTTGTTACTGATCTGCCCCTTTTTCTTGAACTAGCCTTCATGGCTCTCAGAAGTGTAATCTCAGCCCACACTCGTGTTTGATTACAGAATCCCCTGTCTATTTTCCCAAAAGATACGATATCTTTTAGAGGAAATTCATTCCTAGGAAAATGTGAGCATTTGAGAATGTAAGAATTTGAGACCCCAGCAAAAAAAGGAGTTTTGGAAAGGGCTTGCTGTGGATTACACGTTTGCTCCCCCTTCTCCAGTGGCCAGAGAAGATGGTGTCCTAATCTTTGAGGAGGAGGTGGCCTACTTCATCTCTTCTGCAGGCATGCTCATTGCACACATTGAGAGCTCCTTATATCCACCCATTCCCTCTGTAGTCCCTTTATCTGTCGCTCCTCTGCCAACCACTTCTGCCTCAGGGATTCCCACTAGCCTTCACACCACCTCTGTCATGCTTTGGACTCGGTGTGCTCCTCTTCTCTTGTTTGTGTACACATACCATTTATTTTATTCTCAGGTGAGAGACACTGTGCACATCCCTTTTCCCTTTCCTGCCATTCTCCTCCTTACTGGGGTGGGTGTTGTGATGGCATTAAAAGAGCTCTGTAAGGTGATTTTTTTCCCAGAATGTGAAACAGAATCTCAGTTTGTGAAGCTTTTTGCTGTGTTAATAGTGTGTCAGAGCACAAGATACTGTTATAAGCTAGAATGAGGGTACAAACCGGCTTGGAAGAAAAAATAATCTCTTATCAAGCCTGTTAAGAAAATAGGTTATACAGTTTTCTGCCATAAATTGCAGAGAAATCAAATTGGAAATGGCGAGGTAAGTATTTCTCCATAACAGCATCTGTGCTTCTGGAAAATGACTTCATGAACTCAGTGGATGTCTTTAATACTTAGTATTCTTGGATTGAGGGGCAAACCCATGTCAAGTCAGCTTAGGGCAGATCGTCACATTTGGCCAGTGAATTGTTATAGAGTTTTTATTTTGCACCATGTAAGAGAGAGCACGTGTGCCGACAGTGCTCCCATGACTGCTTCTGGATACTCACTCCTAACTTTTTCTCAGCCTGGTCCCCTTGAATTGACTTAAATTGGGATCCAAAATGGATCAAATATTCTAGCAGAAAAAAATATTGCAATAAAATGGTGGGTTTGCTGTCATTGCGACATTTGAAATTTCCTGCCCCCCTGCCCAAATGCATGTACTCCACAAACTTTAACTGTAGACCAGACATGGAAAGAGGATAGAGAAAGGAGAAGAAATGTCAGGAAAAAGCCTGTCATTCTTCCCTAATGACCAGACCTATACAACAGAATTACACAGGTAAGGGAGGTGCTAAGGGAAGGATCTCTGTCAGGCACTGGCACTGTAAGCCACCTCACTGTAAAGAAGCAGTGAAATTTCTTCCTGTCTCTCTGAATTCCACACATTTGGGGGTTTTCTCAAAAAAAAAAAAAAAATGGCGAAGGACATTATAATAATATCAGTTAAGGAGATTCCGGTGGGTTGGAGAAAACTTTTCATTAAAAATAAATTTAAATCCTCTGAATCTGCCTGCATGCCCTCCAGTGGCTGTAAAACTTTGCCTTACTGGGAGAAGCGTCTCTGGAAACAATTGTAAAATGTTAGCAAATCCACCACAGGGATTCCCTCTGCTGTAATTCCATCCTCCACAGAACATATCTGTCTCTGTACACACAAGTCCCAGGACAGCTGCAAAGTCAGGCTAGCGGAAATTAAGTTCGCAAATTAAGCTTCTGCAAAAATAGGAGCTGCATTCCAGATCTGAGGTTAATATCCAGAGTACGGGCTTGGTTCTGACAGAAGCAAAACACCTGCAAATCCACTTCAGATCAGTCTGTATTAAACTAGTCCCTTTTGAGCAGTTTCAGCAAAAACACCTCAAATTTAACAGCATCTGGAGATCTCGCTCCTTTTTTCACTCCAGAGACATGGTCTCTGGGACAAGGTGAGGCTGGCAGAGGGGACCTCTTGTGCTGTACCAGGTTGGGGAATAGCCAACGGGGAGTATGATAGCATGGTCTGCAAGGTCAAAATCCCAATATTATTTTCCATATTTACCAACATGGAATTCATGTCTAAAAATAAAGCAGGAAGGAAGATTCCCCAAAAGCACTCAGTCTGGCTGTCGTCATTTTTGATTAGAGGAGGGAAAAAAAGAGAAAAAAAAAAAGTGGTTTCCAGACCAGAAAACCCTTGAATGGGCCACCCAAATGCTGGCCAGAACAGCAGCACCTTGTGCGCGTGAGCGGGTGGCCAGCTGCCATCTTTGGAGGCTGTAGCCTGTGCTTTGCTTGGCTTTTTCTCCTTAGCATTGTTTGAAGGTCCATGAGTGCATCCAGCTGCTGGATATCTAGAGTGTTGAGGCTGGGATAACCCAGATACCAGTCAAACCTGAGCATTATGCCTGCTTCCCGAACCACACAGCCATTGATGAGTTATAGCTGATGGGGTTTTGCGCCTGGGTCCAAGACGCACTTCTCCTTCGGGAGCAGCCTCTCAGCCCCAGCGCTGTGCCAGGCTTCCCGATGCTGCCCGGTTTCTGCCTCTGGCACTGTTCATTTGCTAAGCAGATAATCTGTTCATGGATAATGGAAGGGTGACTTTAACATAAGTCTGGGCAAAATAAGTATGAAAGATCATCATACAGGTGGTTTGGGCAAGGGTGGTAATCATCAGTAATTTTCATTTGTTGAAAGAAAAAGATTTTGAAGAGATCAGCTAATTCTCTTTTTCTTCCTTTGTAGATCACCAGATTAAAAATTGACAGAAACCCCTTCGCTAAAGGTTTCAGAGATTCTGGGAGAAACAGGTAACAGGAGCTTATTTGTGTTTCCTCACTGGTCTCCTCTCGCCTTCCCCTGCTGAGTGCACAGGGCATGCGTCTAAGGCTGAGGAAGGCGTTTTGCAATCCTAATTCATTTTTACAGGAGAAATTTGCTCTAGACTACTTCTTAGAGGAATTAGGACTGTTTTACTTTACCTAAACAGATCCAATGTATAATGATGGCTTTCTTAGAAAATGCTTTCCAGGCTAGCCACCTAGACTGACCCCATTTCTTGACAGAAGTTTCTTCCAGTGCTGCTCTTACCTCTGCCCAGATCCTGCAGTCCCAAAACCCTGAGAGAAAGGGTTTTAGATATTCTTAGGCAACATATCTGTAAAGACAGCTTATCACTTCCCTGCTTGACAGCATTTGTTTCTATGGCTATTTTTTTGCTGTCGTATGTTTAATTTCCTGTTCACTGCTACCTCAGTACCCCTTCTGTTACCACTACTTTCAAGGCTGTTTTCTTCTGTATATATGTTTTTCTCTTGCTTTTACTTCCTGCTGGATAATTAATTTATTTATGCTCATTTCTACTATTTTCATGTTCCTCTGAGCTTTACAATTTGTTGTTGAGAAACACAATTAAAACTTTCTTTAGCATCTCTGATAGGTTATTGAACTGTTCCTGTATTACTGGTATGGTGCCATGATATCCAGAGAATTAGGTAAAATAAATGAAGTTGTAAAGATACTGTAGAGTTTCTTTAATTTTTTTTTTGTTGTTACTAAAATGAAGAGCAGAAATAGAAAAATGGGGCACTGCAGATTTTAAAACAGACAAACAGGTCACATGCTAAAACTCTGCAAAATAATGAAAGTTGTAGGAAAGAAGATCCAGACACTTTTGCTTTATTATACACAAAAATGGTATGAAAGGCTGAAAGGCAAGTTTTTCTTTTAATTTTCACAGGAAATTCCAAAACTTGGAGATAAATGCTTGCTTTACATTGGAAGAAAAAATTGAGTTTCTGATAGGTTTGCAGGATAAAAGTGCAAAAATATTCTGGTTTCAAACCATTTCAGTTTTTCTCCAGCGATGTCAAACAGTTTCACTTTGTGTTGCTTAATTTTGTCAGGATTTTTATGGAAAGATTAAATAGAACACCTTAAGCATTATTTAGAATATGTTGTATTTTAATAACACGACAGTAACCCAGGAACTTGAATCCAAAAACTGTTGTATTAGTAGAAGGCATTACCATGTTATCAAAAAAGAATAAGAAAGTCCGAACAAAAAGATTCAACTTTCTCTGCCATTCATGAATCCAGCAGAGTGTGCAGCAGATCTTAGTATTTCAGGTCTAAATGACATGGGTATCCTTTAAATCAGCGTGACAAAGGCTTTAAACATTAAATTAATTATAGAATTAGCCATATATGACTATGTTACAAGAACCCTAGGGTTGTAAAGCAAGGCTCTGAGTGTGCAAACCAGAGTGAAAGTCACGTGCATAGCCCTCATTTGCTGTCCCCATGGGCACTGTAATTCAGTTTTTCCTTGCATGCTCCTCTTGTGTGTGTTCACCAGGACCACTACCTCATTCATGGTTTGGTATGGGAAGTGTTCAGTGAATGGGCAACCTCCCAGTGTTTCCCATCACCCATTTAAATGCTACACTCTCCATGATCACGAAGAAGACATCTTACTGACCTAGCAGCTTCCTAGCTCAGCTCCTCTGTTCTCATCTTACGTTAGCCATGCAAAAAGATGTTACCACCCTTAGTTAATTCCTGCTGTGGGCGTTAGTTCTGATACTTGAGGCATATGTGACTTCTACTCTGCTCTCCTCCCCTGTGCGGGGGAAGTAGTATGTGCCCCGGGTACGAGGTCTTCCCTGTGCGCAGAGGTACAGCTGCACTGGAGGCTGGGCTTAGAAGAGGGATTGATGCAGTTCCAGGTACACGGTGGGCTAGATTAACGTGGAAGGCATTAATAAGGCCCTAGCCCAGTGAATTTGGACAGTTTCCTGAAAAGGTTGGGAATTACTGATCTTTGTAGCTCATTGATTTAAGAAAGGGCAGGAAATTGCTACACAGCTGCAGCTGTGGGGAGGGCTCAGTAAGGCTCTCTGCTGATGTAAAGAGGAATTAAAATCTTTAAGGTATTACACATCAAAGAGAGCAGCCTGAGGCTTTAGGAAGAAAAAATAGGCAAAGGTATTTGCAAGCATGTATAGCAGTCAGGCGCCTGCCTCACAAGCAGTGGTCTGGCTAAGGTTGCATCGCTGTTGTCAACTAGCAGAGGACACTCCAGGGCTCAGCTGCTCCCTTTAAAGAGGACACATAGATAGATATACACATAGGAGGGAGAAAAGCCTTAAGGTCTAAGCAGTGTGTGGAAAGGACTCTCCAAATGGGACTTCTCTTAACTGTGCTGGCTGGTTCCTCTTCCCCTTGTGACTTTCTAATCTCATCAGGATCAGTGGTCAACCGGAGTGACGATCATGATGCTCTGTAACTTCCCACATCCTCACCACCACGTCGGTCGGCTATGGTGCATCAGGCTGTAGCTGGAAAATGTCCCACTGAAAATGTAGGCCTCCTTTGAAAAAGAAACAGGGTAATTTGAAAAAGGGGACATTTGTGAAGCAGGCAAGTGCAGTATATGTCCAAGAGGTTTTCTGCATAAGGTCTTAAAAGAAAAAAAAAAAAGAAGTGTGGCAGCAACAGGGGCCACAGAATGTCTGAGGCTGCTCCAGGGCATCATATCCCAGTGACACTGGGATACTGAATCAGAGCTATGGTTAGAGTTTGCCAGCAAATGATGGAGGAAAAAAAACTGGAAAAACCCAGCATGGTGGGAGAAGAGGAACTCTTAGGCTACTTCTTCCTTGGGACATTTCCTTTCTGCTTTGTGTTGAGGCTTTTCCATGAAATGGAAAGGGATGTTTTTCCTTCACTTATTTCTTATTCTGATATTGTTTCACTCTTGTTGCCTGCTGCAGAAATTATGGGATTGACTGTTGTTTTTAAAGCTAGTTTCTCTTTTAAATTTTTTACTTCCGTCAGCTCACAGTCTTTCCGTATGGTTCCTTATGACTGTGGTCTCCCTTCATTAGTATAAGAGGCTGGTAAAAACCTGCTGCTGCGGGACAGCCCATCGTGATGTAACTGCCTGTATCCATCTGGGGGAGAGATATTTTCATGGATGCCTTCTTGGATCTCCTTCAGTTGTTTGCATGAGTGTCTCCATTCGCAGCTGACTGCCTCAGTCCTTGCGCTGGGAGAAGGAGCAGTGAGGTATTCCAGAGGGACGGATGCAAACCGCTCACCAGCTGGGTGTTGTTTTGCAGTCTTTGAGCACTCAAACAATGTTAACTAGTGGTGTTCAGCAATCTAGCCATTAGCCTTGATGGATTAGGGAGTTACCCTGTGTTAGAAGGCCAAGTCTTAGTTCCTGCTTATTAGAGATTCCCTCTTACATGATTTTTGGTCCCTCTGCTTTATCTGCAAAAGCACATGGAGCATCTGAAAAAGTGAAACAAGAGAACGGGTCCCGGTAGTGAAAGAATGCCTATGTAATGGACGTACGAGGCAGGTATTACTTGGTTGCTTTCCTGAACTTCAAGACGTTGAGAATCAGAGTTTTTGACATATGGAGCTTAGCTAGCCAAATGTTTGGGTAGTGAGGGTGCAGGTTTAATGCCACAGAGCCTATTTTTGGAGACTGAGTAAAGTTCGTTTGACAGTGGGATGCTTGGGGGAGCTCCTTATCCAGGAGGAAGCCAGAAGGAACAACAGTCAGGAAACCCAGCAGGGTGAGGGAAGAAAAAAAAAAACTAAGCTGAAGGCAAGCAACAGCACTTTCCTTTCAGATGTGGGCAGCTGAGGTGGATAAAAGTTGTTTGTGTTGGAAATGCTCTTTGAGCTTTTGTCTAGGGTAAGGGAGCCAGGAGGGTGCTTGGAGCCAATAGTTGGGCTTCCCCACTGAACAATGAAGCGATGACCTGAATCCTGCGTGCAGCGGGAATGGCAAGGTTGGCCATATGGGATGGATTATGGAGGTGCACAGATAGCTCGTACATCTTTTTTCATTTTTCAGACAATGGAACTGTTTCATTTATTGCCTATTATTAAAACTTTATAGCACTGAAAATAAAAAAATGAATGAAAAAGAGAGAGCGAATTTTGGATACCTTTTAAAGGACTGACCTTATTAAAATAAAGCTGGCAGTGAGTCCTCTTCTGATACTTTTTTTACTTCCTTCATAAAGATGGTGTGAGAGGGGAGGGTTTATGGCCTGATAGACAGTTTGAAGTCAATTTTTCAGCGCAGTTCTTTGGAAGAGAAAGTGGATGCCACATGGATAATGTTCAGCACACTTGGTACCAGCAGCCCTCACCAAAGCCCAAAAGAAGTTGCTGAGATTTCAGAAATGCTGAAAACAATTTTTTTTTTGGTCAGCATTTATTGCTGCCTCAAAATGTCTCTTCACTGGCCAGGAGGCATTCATTTTCCCTGTTAGGGGCTGGAACACACAGAGAATGGCACTCCAGTATTTCTGCTGACTAGGAGAGCATTACCTTTCTGTCCTGTGGTGGAAGTCTGTGACATGGCTCTGGATATCTTGGCACCCCACTAACGTCATAAACTGCTATGGGAGAGAGGGCTGTTAGAGTTGACAGTGATGGAATTTCCCACCCCCTCACCCCACCATTTCTTTACAAAAATAAGAATACATCACAGGAAGAAGAAAAAAAATATATTGAAAGGTTAGGGATAGAGTTGTAAAATCAGTCACGCAAGGGTGGTGTGCATTCTGACCCAAGCGGTTTTTGCATGACTGCACATCGTTTTTCTGCAATACCCCATACATGTGGTGGCAGGTGCCTAGCAGGTTAGCACAAGGGGCTGCTGTCTCGTGGATCTTGTCTGATGCATGGAAGGATCTGAAAGTTTAGTAAGGATGTGTTCTGCTTAGATATTATTTCAGAAACACCCACAACATTTGCTCTGTACAAAGATTAAAAAAACACCAAACAAACAAACCAGGAAAAAATCTAGTATACAGGGGCCTAAATTTGGGTGTAGGAGAACTGGGCATAACTTTGAGCTCTGTCATCCACACGCTTAGGGAGGGTGTTTTATCATGCATGCTAAACATGTGCACACCTCTGGGGGAGTAAAGGACTCTCATTTGGGGCAGTAAAAGGAAAGAGGTGAAAGAGGTGGCTTTAAGCCAGCTGTGGAGTTCGGCATCCATTCTTCAGGTACCTGTGGCTGCAGTGCTGCCCAGAGCATTACATGGCAATCTGTGAACCCAGTGAAAACGCGGTGTTGCTGCCAGCAGTTGCAGCGTGGAAAGGGGAGGGTGACAGGAGCCACATGCATAGCAAAGGGGCTGTTGTAGACCTGCTCCCCTGGAGCAGGAGGAGGTGGGTCCCTGGTGGCATCCCTCCTTTCCCCAACATACCCAGTAGGAATAGAGCAGCTTTGCAAGCTGCTCTGGTGCGCCCAGTGCTGCCATTTACCCTCTGTGGGCTCACAGGCACAGTGGAGTCCAACCCCTGAAAGCAGTATATTATTCCTGATTTACTCTTTTATTTCTTCTCTTTATTATCTCCTGATTATTCTCTTTTTTTCTTTTCTTTTAGAAGTACAAATTATACGGTACTTGCGAGAACTGTCTTGATACAGGGGAAAGGGGTAGACAGAGAGCTAGAAACTTTGAAGTGTGAGTCAAGCTGAGCTGAGAACGATGCAGGCCTCGGGTAGAGGCAGGGGTAACAGCTTTAACCTGCCTTTACTGTTTCCCTGAGCCACCTCCTGTTAAGGGTTGGATTTTACTGGAAGGGAGTCATGAGAGCAGAGCTAGAAGTCAGATGCTGGTGCAGAGCGGGGTTATGTGCACAGGGATCTAATGACTGAGCCAGACTGTGTGAACACTGGTTTTAGTGAGCTGGCCTCCCTACTTCCCTGCACGATCCTTGTGGCAGATGCAGAGCAGCTGGATTAGCACAGCTGGAACTTTCAGTCTGCATTTCTGGATGTATTACTTGGTTTTAATCATCAAGGCAGGTCCTTTCAACTGTAGGTTGAATCTTGTTGCATTGCGACTTTCTCAGCGCATTTTATGCCCCCTGGTTATATGGCAGCAGAAGGTCCTCCCTCAGTGTTTGGGCTGGGGATCGTTTATGAGGCTGCAAAAAGGTACCGTTCTCTTCCTAGCTGTGTGTGTCGAGAAGCAGACGGAGTCTGAAAATGTGTGGCTTTCTCACACAGGGAGTGGAGGAAATTCTGGAGGTGGTACCAGTCGTCGAAGAGCTGCTTTTGCACACAGAGCCCAGCTTAGCAGATGGGTTCGCGTTCTGTGCTGCCTCGTTGTCTCTGAGCTCCATGAGCTGGCAGAGGCCGCTGTATTAACCAAATAGTTTTGTTGTAATGTGCTCAGTGCTAGTGTGAGACTGCTATGCAGAGATGTCTTCTGTTTCTACTTCTAACAGCTTAGCAGCTAATAAACACCATGCAACAACCTTTCTTCTAAACCTCCTCTTAAAATACAGAGTTCGATTTGCCAACTCCAATGTATTTAAAGCATCTGAGCTTCCGGGGAGACTTTGGAAAGTTAACTGAGTGAGTGGAGGCACGTGCAGAAAGACATTTTCAGAAGCAAAAGGCAGCTCCAGTATCAGCTCAACATCTGATGAGAGGCTCTGCGGATGTTAGAGCCTTTTGCATTGAAAGGGGATATGTTCTCGCATTTGACGAAGCATATCTAGTCGTGTTCGATCAGTGCGAGGGCTATAACCCACTGCTGGAAAAGAGGCAGGGGAAGGTGAGGAATGGGGAACAGAGCAATGTGCAGTTTTCACAGAGGAAAGCCTTTCCTGGGAAGAAACTCCAGGGGGTTGTCTTGTAGGGAACATGGGGGTCTTTCCCTGATAATGCACCTATGTCCTCATTGAGCCCGTGGAGTTGGAGACTTTCAGCAGAGCTAGCATTCTGTGGTGAAAATAAGAACAAATCTGAGACCCCAGCCCTTCAAGAGGAAAAGTTCTAGCTTGATTTTTGGCTTTTTCTCTTTGGTACTCTCTTTGCAGTGAGTTAGGGACCCAAAGCAGAGATGCCACTGATCTTTTATAAAAAACCTCTTATGCATTTCTAGTCAAAGTCCAAAACCAAGGAGATTTCCTTTTGGACAGCTTCCTGTAGCACTTCAAAGCAGTGTCCAGAACTAGGAGGTGACAGGGAAAGCCAATTAATAAAATCTCTCTGATTCTGAAGGCTGAATCCCAGACCTCCCTCGTTTGCGTCACAGCTTGCATCCACAAAGTGTGGAAGCCTGCTCTATGATAAAGCATGCCTTGAGGAGCTGACGGTCATGTGTTCCCTGCAAAACAGACAGAAAGTTTGGGATCCTTGTTAAAAAAAGAAAAAGGTGCTGCAAGACTGTTAGGAGCTTTTGAAATCCTGGGCTGGGGAAATTTCATTTTACTCCAGTGGCTAGCACCTGTGCGGGAAGGCTCACTTGAGGAATTCACAGATGCCAAGGTGACCTTTCGGTGGCTGCTGGCAGACTGTCAAGCGAGACGGGAGCCCTCTTCCCCCAGCACCGATACCCTTGCCAGCTGACTGACATTCTTCTTCTCTCCTTGTTTTAATTTCATTGCACAGGACGGGACTGGAGGCCATTATGGAGACCTATGCCTTCTGGAGGCCCCCCGTGCGCACTCTCACCTTCGAAGACTTCACTACCATGCAGAAGCAGCAAGGTGAGCGTACAAAGGGCAGGCAAAGAGCTGTAGAAAGAACAGGAGAAGAGGGTGTAGGAGCAGCAACGCACTCTGCTGTGCGTCTGGCAGCTGGGGTGGGGGTTCACGCACCTCGTTGAGCTCTTGACTGCTGTGAAAGGATACTGAGCAGAGAGGATGTATGGAAGTGGTGGACAGGCCATGCCTTATGAGGTGCAGTCCAGCCACTTCATCTCCCTGATGTCCCCAGTGCACCTAAGAGCTAGAAGGAGGAGCAGGAAGGAGCGCAGGGTTGGGAGAACCAGCCCAAGTACATGGCATGAGTTAAGTGTGAAGAGAGCACAGAGAGACCAAGGAAGCACTCCAGCATGTCAGGCACGTTGTTCTCCATTTACAGTTAGAGTTTGCCATTTGTGTGACAACACAAGGGGAAGGGGCATGTGTCCTCTGGAAGCTTTAGGAGACGAGAAATGTGCCTCCCCCCAGGATCATGCTGCCTCGCTTTCAAACCCTGGTGGCCTTGCTGGAGAGAGCTTCTGTTAGTATGAGGCTGGGAAGAATTATTGGGCAGGCCAAGTGTTTTCCGCTTGTTCATGCTGTGTCTTTTCATAGCTTCTGCCCTTTACATCTCTCATTTGTTAAGTAGGGCTTTCATCTCCAGTTTCAGGCTGTGTTACTATTTTTTTTTGCACTGATAGGACTTCCCCATTCACTTCATTGCAGCTATTTCTAGTTAAAAACACAGTGATCACTGGGAAGAGAGATATCAAGGCAGCCTGGTACTTTTAAAATTCCAGTATAAATGCGAGAAAAGAAACTATCCAAAGCCGTGTTCAAATGCGACACCTGTGAGGTTAAGCAATCAAAACCAAACGCATGCCCTGTGTAGCAGATTCTCCAGCCTCTCACATTTGAGCCTGACATCACCCCAAAACTTTCCTCTAGACCTCAAATCCATCTGGGGATGGCGTGGGCTCCTCCAGAAGGAGGGCAGCAGCAGTGGCTGCCGGGGCTGCCCATCACAGGGCAGGAGAGGTTTTGCACAAGCGCAGGGGCGTGTGTCAAGCAGCACTTGCAGTGAGGCGTGCAGTCAGAGATGAGTTAAAACAGGGATTCAGAAACGTTTTCATCACCCACCTAAATAGAAACATAACAGCCTCTCCTCCTGGTCATGGTCGCTGAAGCAGCCTCCCTCCTCTGTCTCACTCCCTATTCGGGCTCGCACACCTCCCCTCCCCTCCCCTCCCATTGGTTATCAGATAACATCCTAGTGGTAAGTCCAGCTATTGCTTACGTGGTAAGGTAATATTAGGAAAGGAAAATATTTAATGTATTTTTAGCTTGTTTTAATATAGTTTGGCAGCTGAAAAACCAGGAAGCAAGCCAGTACCCTGTGACCAGCCGGCTCTGTGCAGACCACCACCACCGCACCACAGACTGCTAGGTTTAAGGCAGCCCTTAACTAAAGTTGTGTCCACAGGTCGGTCTCAAAACTTGAAACTCGCTACAAAACAGTGCTCTTGAGCTCTGCGTTTAGCCATGCGAAACAACCTCAAGATAATAAATCAGAAATATTCCCTCCATCATGGTGCTCACCTCTCCAGTGGCTGCTGTAACAAGCTGACCCCTGGTCTCAGTGATAGGTGCAAAGCCAAGGTACAAACGTTCTCAGTTTTAATTTCTGGCTGCTGGGACAGCCCCCAAGGGCCAGCACAAATATGCTGGTCTGGAGGCCTTGGAATTGCTGGCAGAAAGAGCAAGAAATGCTGAGGTGGCCTTAAGCCACATGTGATTCTTCCCTCCAAACCTAAGACGACCAGGATGTACAGTGCCCATACGTCTTCATCTCCTTGCTTGAAAGCACATGAACTGTCTGACAGGTGAGTAAATCACTGGTGTTTAACAGCTGACTTCAGCATAAGCTATTGCACCTCAGATCCTCTGAGCCTTACCCAGTCTTTTCATGTAAGAGACTTGCCTGCGACTCTACTCCTCTCTCCCACCTGAAGCTTCAGTGCTCTGAGGTTCATGCTGTCATCTCATACCCCTGCATATTTATGAATTAGAAGTTTTCAGGGTATTATTTTAATAACAGACACTTTAATGCTAGATCATGCTGTTGTCTCCAAGCTGGGTGAATATGTGGCATTTCTGAATAAACCCTTGAGCAATCGCAAGCCTCCATTTTATCCTTTGAATTGTTAGTTGGGAAACTGCACTGGGGCTGCAGGAGACTTTTGAGACTAGATGTGTCCACTGCAGCTTAAGAGGAGTGCATACTTACTGCAGAGAGACAAGATGAGAGCAGCAAAAGTGGCCACATGCCTAGGAAGAAACATCATCAATGAAGAGTGAGTTATGGTTGTTCAGCCTGGTGAGGAGGGAGAGAGTACATAATAGTACTGAAGTAAGATGCTGTCTGTGGTGGATAGGAAAAAAGCAATAGGCTGTAGTTACATGAAGTCTAGTGAAGTGCTGGAACAGATCCGCTGTAGGAACTGTGGAATTCAGCCTTGACTTTCTAGAGATGAGTCCCCCTTACTGTGGTAGAAAAAAAGATACTCTCTGGGGCAGAAGCTTGGGCCTTCAGCAGTATAAATATAGTGCCTTTATTGCTTTCCAGCTAGATTGTTCTGTTATGGATTGCTATGGATTCTTAGCTTTTCTTTTGTCACTTGGTAATTTTTTCATTAAATGAAAGTGTTATCTGCCTTTTCCAAAACAGTTTTGTCAAACAAGTCCAACTGAATTATTTGTTTAAGTTAGAGGTTTGACTGATAGAAATAACTGTATAGGTGTGGTGGATTTTTGGAGAGCATTTAACTTATTGCCACATGTGCCAGCTTGGAAAAGTTAGCATTAGTGAGTATTAAGAAATGAGTAGCTGACCGATCTCAAAGCTGACATGATAAACGTGAAAACACCATCCAGTAAGGACAGTCCTAGTGTTGCTCTGCAGAGGCTGGTTCCAGTACTAACTTGTCCAGAACTAAATGAAACAGTGCAGCTGCTAAAAGGTACAAATCTCATAAGGGCTGCAAAGTTGTCAGTAATGACGGCGACAAAGGTACGAAGAGCAATAGAGATTGCTTGGTAACCTGTATGCATTCAAACAAAGCATGGCTTTTAGTTCAGCCAGATACAATATCATGTGTCTAGGAACAAAATGTAGGGTATACATACTCACCAGCGTGCTGGAAAGCATTGGCACTGGCAAGAACTTGGAGGTCTCCGTGGATAAGCCACTGCACACGCAAGAGACAGTGTATGTAATACTGTGATAAAAAGGGACATGCAATCTCTGGTGTAAAAAAAAAAATAGTGGTAAGCAGTGGGGAGACAATTTCCTAGCTGCAAACTGACATTACAATATAGTCTTCTACTGTATGTGGTTTTAAAGGGTGGCAAGAGATTGAAGACGATTCAGGAAAAAAAAAAAGTAGAATGATTTGTTGGCTGGAGAAGATGCCTGAGAATGAAAGCGCAGTTTGCATCGTTATTCACAAAGAAGATCAAGTACTGAATCTTTATGGCCCATACTATCTTGCAGAGAGAAGAATGTGTGGTAGCTTTGTGTCACCCATCCTTGACAGACTCTTGTGGCTGCAATTTTCATGTTTTTATCACACGACTGTGTGGAACATGTTTCATTACAGTGGCTCTGATTTTTCTACTCTAACTGAATGTTCATCCCTTTTTGTGGGATGTTACGAGATAAGGAGAACAGAAGTTCCCCCTCATCCACCTTCTCCATACAATTAATTTTTTACAGATTTTTATGTCCCTCTTCTGTGCTTCTCTCAGTGAATAGTGCCAGTCATTTCTTTTATCTTCAAGTGGGAAGTTTTCCAGGTCCTTAATCGTTTCTTTAAAAACAAGTCTGCACAGAGTATTCCAGATGCATCCACATGATACAATTATCTAAAGGTATTATAATTTTTTCCACATTATCCTTTCTTCCATTCAACACACATCCTAGTGCTTTGCTCATTTGTTTGGCCCAAACTGTATGTTGAGCAAGGGCTACAGTGACACACTGAATCAATACTCGGCGTGCTGGATGCAGCTGTTTCATACAGGGATTAAATAACTTTCTAATCTACACAATGATAGGTTTCAGCTGCCGCACAAACTGGAGAGCCTGATATCACGACCAGTCACACAGATGGCTGGTGTGGCTGACTCTAGTGATCCACGAGCTTTATTTGCACGTGTTGCCGTTGAAGTAAAGCACATCAGTAAGTGTCTGCAGGTCTGTGACCTGAGGTGTCACCATATTGTCCTACGAAGAAGAACATGACGTTTCTGTCAGTGAAACCCTCTGACCTGAGTACAAAACTTCTCTTCTGGAGCATGCAATCCAAAAGTAATCACAGCTTTACAAAGTCAAGCACCATGTTTGACACAATCACAGCAGATCTGCAGCCAGCTTGAAAAAAAGAAAAGTCCCCTCAACCAAAAACTTCGCAAAAAATGTTCAGAAAACAGCAGTCCAGGAGAGGCTGACCTTCTGGAGAATGATGTCACCTGCTCTGCAGTCTGCTTATTACTAGGGAAAAGGGGGCTTGGGATCATTGAATGCACATGGCAATGAGATGTGGGGAAAGCCAAGAATCTATTAAAGTCTTTAATTGGAATATATTTTCAAAATTTAGACTGAACCTCATCCAGATTCTCATTATTAAAAATCTGTGGCTCAGTTTCTTGATTTTAACAGGGAACATAAAAAAAAAACCCAAACAAAAAACCCCCCAAAAAACGAAGAGAGGGGGGCGAAAGAAAATAAGAGTTCCAGTAACTCTGGATTGTGTCACTTTCCAAGAGTAAAAAGAGCCATTGCTGGCTCCTAGGTGATACACAGTTTCCCACAGGATATTGAGATAAGCAGATCCCTGTCGGTGACTGTAAGTTTTGCCAGGACACAGGGACTAAAAAGGCACTGTGACAGTGCTAAAATAGTGATCACTATCTGATCCTTCCTATAAAAGCTGATGACTTATGGAAGAAGTAAAATTGAAGGT